TTTGTGTTTTTTTTAAAGGTAACTTAATTACTTTTTTGTAGCAAAATGTTTTATAATTAGATTCATTTTCATGTTGTGAAGAATACAACTTTCTACATCAGATGAAATATATGTTAAAGAAAGCTTAAAAATAAGAATAACAAATCATACCGCTCTTCATTGCCAGAACCTCCGCCACCTATTATGAATAAGCCCAACGCTAAAAGTATAACACAAATATCTTTTTTTTTTTTAATGGTTTATAAACTGAAATAGATTCTTGTTTAATTTGATCTGAATAATATCTATCTAGCTATTAGTCTTTTTTATGTATTACTAAGATTTTCCTTTTATTTTAACTATTTGGGTGTCCTGTTATTTGTAATGTTGTTAAATTGGTTACATATATTTAAATGATTGACAACATTCTGTTGTATTAAATAATCCTTTAATCAACTTGATATGAAAATTGAAAATTGATTGAAAGCATGCTGAAATTGTTTAAATTCAGAAATTGAAAGAGTACAAAATTGGTTAAAAGATTAAATTAAGTAACAGGTATGGTTGAGGGATTATTTATAGTTCTAATTATCGTTATTTCTTTTGAATAGAGTTGTTATCAGATTCAAAGATTGAAGAAAATAATTTTTCTTCACGTTTTATTGATGAACAGAATAAAACAAAACAAAGTTCACATTGTCAAAGACAATGTGATCTTTTTTATTAATTTGTTTTTGTATTAAAATAGTTGTATTATTTTAATACAAAAAAAGATAGGTATAAAAGAATAGAAATGGATTATTTATAATATTGTGATCCGATAAATCATGGGTGTAGCATTTTACCTTTAGTAGTTAAACAAAATTCTTTAATATCGTAACCTTTTACAGGATAAAGTTTTAGCTGATTTAAAAAGTAGGTTTTCCAAAATATTATGGCAACTTCTGCGATGGAGTAATAAAAAAAACTTACATGTATTTTTGGAATTTTAGTTTGAGTTGCTCAAGCATAATTTGAATTTTGAAGTTCTTATTTCATTGTTTTTGCTATTTGGTTTTATGAGCTAAATATGTTAATCAATCTTTTTATTCTTGTTTATAGAGATGCAAAATGTTATTCTCAACAAGCTTGCAGAAATAAAAGTTCTTTTAAAAGAAGTTATAGAAATTAAGTTTCAGGCTACTGGGGTGAAGTTGCTAGAATCAGTGGACGAAGTGGTTACACTGGATAATAAACTAAAAGATAAAACCGAGTATACTAATTTGGTATAATCTAATTATCTTAATTTTTAATAAGTTTGTTTAAATTTGGTTTACTAGTTTAGAATCTAAATGAAAAGTATTTGTAAATGAACTAAAATAACTAACTTATGTTAGACTCAATATGTTATAAAGAAATTTAAGTTACACTAGTTTTTATTACATTTATTTCAGCTTGATAGTTTGAAAAAGATTGGTGGTGGAAAGCCTAGAGAACATGTTTTTTTGATCATGAAAAGGTAAATGATTATGTTTTTATTAATTATTAGAAATATGATTAAAAGGGACCAAAAGCAATTCATTTTGACGGTTATTTGTTATGGATTTACTTTTAACATGACAATTTGATAAACTCGGTAGCTTCACTGTAGGTGTTTAAGTTTGTTTGTGTGCTAAAGTAAGTGTAATGCTAAACCTTGTTTAGCATTTTATTTTCAAATTTAATGTTTTTACTTTTCATAATTTTAAGCATTCATATATTAAAATATATTTTAATTTATTACATATATTAAAATAAAAATCTTTATAAATATATTTCAGTTTATTGGTAAAATATTTATCAGGTTATTTTCGAATCAGTTACAGTCCAAATTTAATCGAAAAGGAAATGGGGAAAAGATAAGCTTAGAAAATATAGTAAATATATGAAGTGTTTTACGAGGTTAGTTTTAATAGTATTTACAAAACTGATATCTGTATTAAAAAGATATTCTTCGACTTTTTTTGTGTCATGCTAGAATTTTTGTATCCATAATACAAGTTCCTTTAGTTTTTTCATAAAAAAAAAATATATATATATATATATATATATATATATATATACATGTATAAATGTGTATATACAGTATTGGACAAAACATTTGCAACCAACATCGAACAATGCTAAAAAGTGTTCCTAATTTTATATGTCTTAAAAATGAAACGAACTATACTATATACTACCACAGCAAACAGTTCAGGAGTCTGGAGTCATAGCATGCCATGATATGAGCAATCAGCTGACAGGTGACAGCACACAGGCAGAATTTTGTTGACAAGTGCCATTTTGCAGCATACAAAACAAGTGCAACTTTTTTGGTTTGTTTCATTTTCTCAAGTCTGGTCCTTGTCAACGTCACAGAAGTTTTTTAATATACCAATAAAATAGGTTTTTCAGCAAGACAACGATCCCAAGCACACTGCAAAAGTAGTCAAGCAGTGGTTTCAAGACAACCATTTATTGGTGATGGATTGGCCATCTCAATCTCCGGATCTCAACCCTATCGAGAACCTTTGGGAGATCGTTAACCGCAGAGTTTATCATGAATGTGTCTGTAATAAGGATCAACTGTTTGAACAAATCCAAAAGGCCTAGGCAGCGATTCCACAAAGTTTCATTGATCACCTGATCGAATCTATGCCTTAAAGATGCAAGGCTGTGATCGACAACAAAGGATTCACCACAAAATATTGATAGCAAAATACAGCTTGGTCAACATTTTGTGGAGTTGCACTTGTTTTGTGCAGAAGGAAATCAACTTTTTTTAATTCTTTTGATTAATTTATTAATTTTCGTGTACAAATAATGAACTTTGTGATGAATAAAATTTGAAGAACGTTGTCTCTAAATCTCTAAACAGTTACATAGTTATTTCTCTAAATTGAAAAAATGCAGCCCTTTTATACAAAGAAACTAAATTAGCATCATTTGGTTGCACTGGTTTTGTCCGATATTGTATGTGTATATATATATATATATATATATATATATATATATATATATATATATATATATATATATATATATATATATATATATATATATATATATATATATATATATATATATATATATATATATATATCTATATATATATATATAAAATTTCATAAAAATAGATTCAGAATTCTACATTTCTTTTAAAGTCATTTTTTAGATATATTTAGATATCGGCGACATGGAAGAAAATGTTGACGGCAATGCAGAAATATAGTTTCTTATGTATATTTTTGTGAAATAAAAATTAAGTAATGTTAGTTAAAATGTTTCTTTACTTATTTAATTTAATCCTTTTTTATGACTATTTTAACAGCTGTAACACCTTTGTATCAAACAAGTCCCAGCAAACAAAAAGATATCTAAAATGCGTCTAATATGCATCTAAAAACTGGTCTAAAAGACGTCTAAATTCACATCGTGAACGGGACATAAATAGATGTCTATCTTATAGATGTCTTTTAGATGCATTTTATACGACACAAATAAATGCCTTAGATGCATAAAAGATGTGAAATATACATTTAAAGATGTATACTAGATGTATATTAAATGCATAAAAGAGCTATTATTAGCTAAAAAATTATCTATTATCTATCTTTTTTAAACGTGCCTTAGACATCTATTTAAGAGACGTATTTTATACATCTAATATGCATCTGTAAGATGTATATTTCACATCTTGTATGCATCCAAGGCAATTATTTGTGTCGAATAAAATGCATCTAAAAGACGTCTATAAGATAGACGTCTATTTATGTCCCGTTCTAGACCTGAATTTAGACATCTTTTAGACCTGTTTTTAGATGCATATTAGATGCATTTTAGATATCTTTTTGTTTGCTGGGATATTGGAGAAAAAGAAAAATATTGCAGTAAATATAGTAGTTATAGGCTATATGATGCTTAAGCATGCTTTTAGCCCATTTCAAAAAATTAAAGTCGAGAACCAAATGGCAGAAGTTACATTTATTTTTCTGAATAAATGTACTTTATTTACTTTCTCTGATAACTTATATCATCTTATTCAAATTGTATTTATTAGGATATTTTAGTATACTTTTAGACAGTAAAATTATAAAGTCAGTGGTCTGTTGGTTCTCTACTGACAAATTAGCATAACAAAACATACAGAATTGCCTAAATCGACTTTAAAAGTGTTCATGCATTTTTTTCCGTTTGGGTCTTTTAAGCTAAAAAAAAAGAAAATGATTTATACAATATTTAAAGAACATCAATATATATATATATATACATAATATATGTATATATATAGAGAGATACATATATATATAGAGAGAGAAAGATTTACAATTAATATATATATATATATAGAGAGAGAGAAAGATTTACAATTTTAGTTAAACATAAATAAATACTACATTAAAATATAATACCTGCTTTTAAATAACTCTTTAATATAAGACATATTTCCTTTACCATTCAAATCAGGAAAGTCATAAACAAATCTATTAACTAATAATGTGGCTTCATTAATTACACTTCCAGATAATACCCAAATATTCAACTTAAAAACATTATTAGGTAAAAGAATGAAATGGTAAAAAAACTGAGGAGGTAAAACATCACATAAAATAACAGGACCATAAAAAACTAAAAAATTAAAAAACTCAATAACTTTCCAATGCTTTAAACAACTTAATGATCATCGAGTCCGTCTTATATTGCTTGGCATACTGATTGCAGATAAAAGATTATTTACAACAGTACAGTGTCTTCTAATAGAAAAAATATAACCAGAACAACAACTATCAAAGCAGAAAGAAACCATTGCTTTTATAACACCAAACTCAATACAATGCAGATTATCAACAACTGTTCCATTTACACAATTAAATTAGGTACTCATACTAATAGAGAAAAATCTAAAAACCCTTTAACCAAATTAATCCAAAAAAAATCTGTATGATTTCTACAACTCTCATTAACATCAGAAAACGCAAAATATAGAGAAAATACAACTCTCATTAACATCAGAAAGTCATACAAGACCTTTTACTTTTTTTAACTCTTACCCATTGAGAAGAACACCAATGGCAACCATTATAATCATTAAACTACCTACAACAAAAAACCATAGCTCTTGCAATTGTATCACACAAAAAAATAGATACATGAAAAAAAAAACACGAACATTATTAGATAAGAGCATACCAGTAGTGGATAGGTTAGTAAAAATATCAACAAAACAACATAAAAATAGTTGCACATAAATTTTTTTAAAACTGGACCAGAGACCAAAAAACAAAATATTACTAATTTGCAATGAATATGGAAAATTATGAATGGATGCAAGCAAAAGCCAAAAGGTTGACTTTGATAATTTAAAAACAGGAACTCCATCAGTATTATCAACAAGTCTAATTGTTGCTTGTCCATTTTCTTCAAGACTTGCTAAATGTATCCAATTGATATAAGACGTGTTTTTATGCTGATTTTTTATATTTAAAATATGAAAATAAATGCATTTCTTATATAGGATAATTTAAAACATTTCAAACATTTTGTACATTGCTTATTAGTACTTAAAGCAACTTCACAAATGTGTATATATATATATATATATATATATATATATATATATATATATATATATATATATATATATATATATATATATATATATATATATATATATATATATATATATATATATATATATATATATATATATATATATATATATATATATATATATATATATATACATATATATATATACATATATATATATATATATATATATATATATATATATATATATATATATATATATATATATATATATATATATTATATATATATATATATATATATATATATATATATATATATATATACATAATATATAAATATAAATTATTAAATACATTTATCTGATTTTTATTTTCTTCTACAGCTTGTTTCTCCATCAGTAGAATTATCAGAAAGATTTCTTCCTGATGATTCTACTGATGAAGAAACAATCACACAATGAGTTTATACGTGAGTTTGCTTTATTGGTTCAGTGTACAATTTAAAGGAAGTGAGAGAAGCTAGATACGTTACAGTCATTTTCGATGGGACGCCAGATGTTTCACGCACTGAACAAATCACTTTTATTCTTCGCTTTGTTTATTTCAGCTTCAACAAAAAAAAAAATATTGGAGGTGAAAGAGCGCTTCTTTGCCTTGAAGACATGGAGAAAAGGAAAAGGAGTGGATATTGCGAAACTAATTGGTAATTTTTTAATAAAAGTAAGTCTTGACTTGCAGAAATGCCGTGGCCAAGGTTACGATAACGGCTTGAATATAGCTGGAATTTACGTCGGAGTACAAGAGCTAGTTTTACAGAAAAATCTATTAGCCCTCTATATTTCTTGTAGCGCCCATAGTCTTAATTTAGCTGGAGTACGTGCAGTTAAATCTTGTGATGAGATAAAAAACTTTCTTCGGTATTATCCAAGCTCTTTATATATTCTTTAGCTGCAGTCCGGCTAGGTGGAAAGTTTTCAAAGAATTGACTGAAGTCGCTCTTCACAAATTTACCAATACCAGGTGGTCAGCTTGAATTGCCGCTGTTAAATCAATAGCAAAGCGACCACGAGAAGTTATTACTGCCCTCTCTCGTATTATAGAGGATCTTGAAATTGCTGCTGACATGCTAAATTAAGCTAAGTCTTAGATAACGCTTTTTAAATCCTTTGAAACTGTTGTGCTTCTGACCTTTTTGTATAAAACTCTACAAGTAGTAGATAAAGTAAGCCGTTTGTTCCAGTCAACTTCACTAAAAAAAGATGACAAAGTTATTCTATTTCAACGGCTAATAAGCAACCTTGGCCGCCTCCGCTCATTTGGAATAATATTTTGGCTGAAATGAAAGCTGTTGCAGGTCAACTAGGCTTTAAAACAGATTTTTTGGCAAAACAAAAGAAGAGAGCGAAACTGTATCACAATGAACCTGCAAGTGCAGCTTTCAGTTATGAGAGCCCCGAGCATCAATTTGGGGTAAACATCTTCAACGTTGCGCTGGATTATTTTATTCATTAGATCTTCAAGGGTCTTGTTTATATGGTTGAAAGACCAAGAACCAAATACTCAAAAGATAAAAGCTCGTAAATCGACACAGTTTTACGCCAATGATGTTAAAGAAGACAACTTCATACAAGAAATTTTGCATCATAATCGTTTGAAGGAGTCCATGTTTTTTAATCCTGGAAATTCATTGAGCCTTCTCAACCAATAACATTCAAAGAGTCTTTAGCCTATTTTTCCATATGTATGCATCTTGATTCGATTTATTAATACAATGCCAGTATCTGTTGGAAAGGGTAAACGATCCTTCGCAGGGCTATTATGGGACAAGAACGTCTTTTGGAACTCATGGTGATCTCAGTGGAAAATGTGTTGGCTAAGACTCTGTCATATGATGATATGATAATGAACCTTTCTGGTAATAAAGCAAAAAAATAGTGTTTTATATAGGCCGTTTTTTGTTATTTTAGTTTCTAAAGAATTTCTAATAATGTATTTTATGTTGTATTTCTGTTGCTAATATTTTTTAAAGATGCAACTTTTGAAAATATTGCCGTAAAATGGTTTTAACAGAAATAAACAACAATTTAAAAAATTCATTTTGAAACAGTGTGCAGTCAGTTATATGCATGATTGCATTATAAAATAATTTTTTTTTTAAATCATGCATGATTAAAGGGGCGCCTACTCAACGCTATGCCCCGAGCGCAATAAAAGCACTTAACGGCCCTGTTATATAGTCCCCTCTTTCAAAGCAACGCTTTGATAAGAAATTAAAAATGATATTTTTTCAAAACGTTACGTCAATCGAAATAGACAACTTAATTTTAAAATTATTATTTATGAAGTAGATATTTTTTTTACTACTTTTATTTGTGTTGAGTTTTATCTTAAATTGCCAGTCAAGTAGCTTTTTAGTAAATGAACGTAAAATTTAATTGACAACACATATTACTCCGTAAATCTAGCTTAAGATAAATATACTAAGGCTCCTGCTAAAAAACGCACAAAGCTTTATTTACAAAGAACTTTACAGGCGCGTAGTGGTTTTACTTTCCCACTGGAAAATTAAATATAATTAGGGTCCAATTACTATATACTATAAACTTACTGATAGCAATGGGTTCCATGTAAATAAGATAAAATCCAGGCCTACCCATTTCTTTCTAAGATAAAACTATACAATTAATATAAACCAAAATCATAATCTAAATTTATAATTTAATTTAAAGTTTATGAAGTTAGATAAATAAATACACAACAGTATTAAAATAATTTTTTTAATTTAAGTGTTCTTGGTTGCGCATTATAAATTATAAAATATGGATAGCATGTTATTAAAAATAGTTCAATAAATTGTAAGGAGAAAATGTAAAAGTAGTTGAAATAGTTCAACAAGTTATTTGAAAACTAAACTTTCAACATTCTTAACATTTCAACAGAGACAGCGCGAGTAGGTGTCACGTAGATGGGAGAGGAGGAGGTCATTACATTTTTTGCTGAAAGAAAAAAAAAGGTCCTTGTTATGAAATTTTGCCGACTGCCATATCGAGATTTGCCGACTAACTCTCTAAGAACGTTCACTATGCTGGGATAAAGTCGTTGTTGATATCTTAAGCGTATCTGTCGACTAAAAAAAACACCTGAAAATTTGATTCTCCTCTAATTTTAGATGTTGATCTTGAAGTAATTGTTGTTCGTTCAATTTTACAAATGTCACAAACACAGAATGATTGGTTTCCGGTAAGTATACTTTCTTTGGCATTTGAGAATTCATTCGGTTTACTTAGAATAATGTTTTTTTTTCCTTTTTCAAGTCATTCTAATGCTTTTCTACATTTAGTACAATTGCCATTAGAAAGATTTTCATTGTTCAAATCAAATGATTTTAAAAAGAACTTATGTATTTTGTTCAATCTCACACTTCCTTCTTTAACGTTTGTCATTCCAGATCCTTTTAAAAAACTTATTAGGCAGACTAAAGCTATATTATCTTTTTGAAAGTTTTTAATGTTTGGCATTTTAAAACGATATGAGCAATACTAAATATTTTTTTAATAACTATTGCAGCAGATAAAAAAAGTTCATAGAATCTATTATTAATTTTTTTTTGCGGTATACCACAAAGAAGTATACTAAACAGAGGAATGTTGTTTATACATTTAACTTGTAATAGCACGGTCGTTTAGATATTAGTAAAAAGCGCTATGTTTAGGTAAGGAAATACGAAAAACCTATAAACTTTTAAAATGCCTATGGTTCTTAACTACAGACAATATTTTATATGGCAACAGTTTATTTGTTAATTAATTCCTGAAAAGCCAATAAAATAGCCTTATTTTTAACGTAGATCAATAAAATAATACAAAAATTTCACAAAAATATAAATAGAGGTAACAAAATTCTTTGCGCGCTAAAACTGTATTTTTACTAAATACTTTTTTAGTGTAAATCATAGATTTGTTTATGTATTTGAAATCAGTTTTCTAAAAATCTGAATGTAGGATTTCAATAATTTTTTTTAAACTTCAGATAAATATGTTCTATATGTATGATATTTTTCTGGTCATTGCTTCAACTTTATTTCCATATAAAAATTAGTTTTTACTGTTATGATTATTTCTTTATATATCTGACTTATATATATGACTATTTCCTTATATACTGTTATGACTATTTCCTTATATAAGTGCAGTTTCAGTAATTATTTTGTTATTTACTATTTTTCTGACTATATATATATATATATATATATATATATATATATATATATATATACCCAATCTGCAACGATATACCGGTCCGGCAATGGCCCAGCGCAGGCTGCGGAGCTGGCCCGTATCTGGCTGGCCAGCACTGGGCCAGCGCCGATTTGCTCACTGGCTTTGTCACGGTCCGGCACTGGCTTGCCAGTGCAGGCGCAGTGCTGGTGTTTCAGTGGTCCGCCATTGGCAAGCCAGTGATGGCTTATCAGCGGTCCGCAAATGGCAAACCCGAACTGGTCTAACGCAGGTCCCCAAATGGCTCACCGGAGCGGGATTAACGGTCCATCAAAAAAGCTTTAATAAATATCTAAGGAGCTTTAATAAAAAATATTTTAAAATTATTCAACAAACCATTAATACCCTTATAATTTGTAAAATAACATAAAACCAGGTATAAAGAAATATATTCTGTAATTTGAACTAACACATGTACATAATAAAAACATAACCACAACATAAAATACAATATTAATACACGAAAAATATAACTACATTATGAATATGGGAAACAACTTTTAAAAGGTTTCTGAAGAAACTATAAAATAGCAGCATTTAGCATAACTAATTTTTAACATAACTAATTGTTTGAGTCGTCTGAGCAGAAAAGTGGCAAATGATGCAGTAAAACTTCCGCTGAAGTTTTAGGCGCTACTAAAGGTTGTTCTATAACTGCCGATGAAGCTGTAGGCATTAGTGCACGATGTTCAAAGTGAGTTTTTTTTATTGATTGTCGAATGGCTCTTTGTTTTCTACCACCATTACGATCACTAGCCCCTGCTAAATAGTGAACCACGGCCTTCTGCACATCACTTTCTGAAGCACCTTTCGTTGGTGGATTTCTTCGCAATGCTCCTGCAAATGTGCATCATAATATAATACGCAGTTATGCCCTGACTTAGTTCACATTATTATAATAACATTTAATATTACTAAACAAAATATTTTCTATACATTAAGTATTTCTAGTAATTAAAATTTAATATCATAGAATAAGCAATTATGATGCAGTAAACAACTGTTTCTGAGGTTTATTTGTTAAATTATAGGTGATATTAACAAAAATTAAGTTTCGCTTACTTTCCAGAACTTGTCGGCATTTCAAGTCACGAAAGGGTTTTTTTAGATTTTCACCAAGTCCTGACCAATTCATTTGTTTTACTACGTCGTTTTCCATTAGAGAGGAAACTATCCTTCTAACGGCTTCCTTCAGGTCCTGACCGCCCTTCGAAGCAACACCATGCACCTAAACATTAAACCGTCGACATTTAATTGATTATTTCATCTGCATTTTGGCAATATCATAAAAATCATAGAAATAAATAAAAACAGTAACTAGGATGAGGCCAGGTTGCATTTGAAAAAAAAGCATTTTTGATTAGCAAATATATATCTTGCTCAATTTTTATGCTAAAATTTGCTTGAATTAGAGAATTTGCTAATAAAAAAAGGGGAGGCGATCGAAACACGAACCTCCAGGGGGTTCGTGTTTCGATCGGTACAAACCTGAAGATGAAGCAAAACTATAAGTAAGATAAAATTTAGTTATAGATTGTAAAGTATTGCTTACTTCAAATAGATCAAAAACTCTCGCATGCAAATATTTTTAATACATATGATGTTTTTAAGATATCAAATTTTTTGGAGAAATTTATTATTAAGTCAAATTGTACTTACAAGTTTATTAAATAAAAGATTGTCTTTAGTAATTATATCTTCAAGCTGCTGCAGCTGTTTTCGGTCACATACAGGAAGATCAAGAGTTTCAAAAATGTTGCCATCGTCTTGTATCCCACCTTGTGACAAAGTCTGCAACATAGTAGTGTTGTAAATAGTCTGCTTCTGAAGATTAGCTACTTCGCTTTTCAGCTCAACTAAAAGAGTAAATATTTTATTTAAAACACTGTTTGATGTTTGTGCAGATGTATGACTAGCTGCTGTAGACAATTCTATGGCATTCAAACTAGTAGCTGGAATTGACAAGCTAGTCGGAATATTAGGAACAAGGTTGGCTATCACTTGTTCTAACTCTCCTTCTATAAAGGCGCCTGCTGAAACAAATGATATATCTTCTAAATTACGCCGACTGATTGTATGCAATTCTGATGCGGCATGTGTTGAAGTTCGGTAACAAGCAGCAGATGTAGATGTTGCAGATTGCCAACTACTTGTGGTTGCAGGTGTTACAGATTGTTGACTAGCTACATGTGATGTAGATAACTCAGAGCCTCGTTCAATAGCTCTAGTAAATGGCTGTGAAATTGATTCTGGTATGGCTCGTTCACTGATTACAGGAGATGAAGGTGTTAAAGAGCAAGGACTAGACACAGGAAATGGAGGTGCTTTAGGGGCTGGTTTGTGAGATTTAGTTTTCGATCGACTGTTGCTCCCTTCTGCAGAACCTTCCCTTTTCTTAGAAACTTGGCAAAGGGGTTGTTTATTTATTTGCTGAGAATCCTTGTCAGAATACTCATCACTATTATCGTTGTCATCTTCAAGATATTTCTGAATACTAAACACACACAAAAAGGAATAATAAATTACATTAAGTGCAATATATTTATATACGTAGAAATTTCATTGCACTATTTGTTTTTTAACACAATAACTATTTCGTTTAATTAATTAATATTACTTTATATAATAAATTAATTTACTCTATATAATACTTGAATTTACCGTTTTGTACGTAGTCTTGAAACATCTACATCACTCTGTAAATCTGATGTTATCTCAGCTTTACCAAGTTCAGATCTGGCCTTTGCATACGAACCTGTGATAAAAATTGTAGTAGACTTTAAACAAAATGTTGATTTTGAATCCTGCTGATATATTAATCATTTTATTTAACTCAGAAAATGAAAACAAACATATCTAGAAACATAAAACAAGTCAAGTCAAATTTAATATTTAGGAAACTAATATATCAATGTGTCAGTAATATATATTTGACATTTGTGAACAATACCAATTTATGTTTGCATCCTTTTATTATAATGTCAATGTCAATGATATTATAATAAAACATATAAAACTTGCCTTTGGTCCCTAAAATTCGACAAGAATGTTTAGACCATTTTTCAGATGGTATTTCACAATTTATTGCCGCTTTATTTTTTCTGTCTTGACTGGTATATGGAGGCCAATAACACAACTCGCTGTTGATCAGCCAAGCTGCAGGCACAACTGCAACTGCATCATCCTCCTCCAAGAAGGCAACAATAACATACTTTTCCATAGACATCCTGAAAGTGCAGAACATTATAATAAATCTGTTACAAATTCAATTATAATATACCTACAACATAATATAGTATTTTATATGTATGTATGTGTGTATATATATATATATATATTATATATAAATGTGTATCTATATATGTATATGTATATGTATATATATATATATATATATATGCATATATATATATATATATATATATATATATTAGAGATGTACCGATTAATCGGCATCGGCTTAATCGGCCACTTTTTGCACAATCGGTATCGGCATCGGCATCGGTCTTTCTTTATCAATTTACCGATTTTCCAACCGATGGCATTTTTTTATTTTTATCCCTAAAATTGTATTTATTTTTTGAAAGTTTTCTTTTCATAGTTAAAAAAAAGTAAAAAATGTATATTTATTTGATTGAGCTTTTCTAATATCTTTTGAAATAAAGGTTTGACTCTGATTTGGGTCCAAGTATTTGCTTACCAGTTCTGATTCCATGAAAAATTTTACACGATTTAAAGATGTATGGTTTTATACTATCAAATTATAATAGCTAGTTAATCTATCAGTATCGGCATCGGTATCGGCCTTTTCCTATCCATCGGCATCGGTATCGGCATCGGCCAAAAATGTGCAATCGGTACATCACTAATATATATATATATATATATATATATATATATATATATATATATATATATATATATATATATATATATATATATATATATATATATATATATATATATATATATATATATAAACAGTAAATAAAAGCTGAAAAGAAAAATAAGACTTACTTTTAAGTAAAACCTTTCTCAATATTTTTCTTCTGTTATTTAAAAATTCTCATTTTATACAGTCAAAAATAAGGAAGTAAAAAAACAATAAAATATTTTATGTTGTAATAAAGTAATTCCACAAGTTCATATAATTGAAGTACTTTGAATACTCATTTTATAAAGTCAAATATAAGGAAGTAAAAAAACATTTAAAAATGTTATGCTGTAATAAAGTAATTCCACAAGTTCATATAATTGAAGTACTTAGAATACTCATTTTAGGTAGTCAAAAATAAGGAAATAAAAAAATATTTTATACTGGAATAAAATTCCAGAAAGTTCAAATAATTGAAATACTATTTAAGTATTTTCAGACATCACATTCATTTAGAATTTATTAGAACAAACACATTAAACATTATTTGTTGCAATAAAATACAATTGAAGTGTTAAACAAGCTATAATGCAATGATATATATATATATATATATATATATATATATATATATATATATATATATATATACTCATATAGTGTCGCTTTAAGAGCATTTTAATGTAAAAAAAGTCTCTTACGACTACAATTTTAATTACCTCGTCTCTTAAGCTGCTTTGGATTGTCATCGAAATGTCAAAGCAATTAATTTATGCGGAAGTACATTAAATTTAATTGTTTTTTAAAAAATTTTTAAAAAACCGCAATTATAACGACTAGAAAGTTTTTTTTAATTAGTGGTGTTTTTGTTATTGATTTAATAAAAAACATTTTTTAAACATGCGTAAATGTTGCTACATCGACTATCTTATAGCCTGACTCGCAACGGAGTGCTGCTACATCGACTGACAAATAGCCTGACTCGCAACGGAGTGCTGCTACATCGACTGACAAATAGCCTGACTCGCAACAGAGTGCTGCTACATCGACTGACAAATAGCCTGACTCGCAAGGGAATGCTGCTACATCGACTGACAAATAGCCTGACTCGCAAGGGAGTGCTGCTACAACGACTGACAAATAGCCTGACTCGCAAGAGAGTGCTGCTACATCGACTGAGGGTTTGGTTTGGCCAGGCAGTCTATCAATTAAAAAAAAAAATTTAATATTTAAAACTTTTTCTGGTCTGGTTTATTAACGCGCTCTTTAAAACTACAGTTTATGGGAAATTTTTTTTGATGCTACGCAAGAGACATGCAAGACTATATATATATATATATATATATATATATATATATATATATATATATATATATATATATATATATATATATATATATATATATATATATATATATATATATATATATAATAATATATAGGGTGGGTTTTTTTTTAACTTTTTTTTAAAAAAACAACCTCTAAATGTGTGCAAAATAATAAAATAACACTAGGTTTAATTTTTTTTTTTGAATAAAAAATATTTTAAGGGGTCCCCCAAGTCCCTTGAATATTTTACGGGTCCCTAATATTAAAAAATAATAATTAATTATTTTGAACAAAAATAATTATTTCAACTTATTTATCAAAATTATCATTAAAAAACTTTAAAAAAAACACTTTTTTTATTTTTTGTTAAAAAACATGATTTTTTATGCAATATAACCTAAAATAATTATTTTTATTCAAAAAAAAATTTTTTTTTGAGATTTTTATGAATTTTTTTTTAATATTAGATATTCAAGGGTCTTGGGGGGCCCCTTAAAATATTTTATATTCAAAAAAATTGTAAACTAAGTGTTATTTTATTATTTTGCACACATTGAGAGGTAGTGCCTCTAAATGTGTAAAAAAACCACCCTATATATTATTATATATAATATATATATAATAATATATATATATATATATTATATATAATTATATATAATATATATATAAGTAATAACTGTTTTTAGGTATATAAATAATTGGTGCAAGTAATAACTGCTTTTAGACAAATCAGACATATATATATATATATATATATATATATATATATATATATATATATATATATATATATATATATATATATATATATATATATATATATATATAAATATATATATATATATATATATATATATATATATATATATATATATATATATAATATATATATATATATATATATATATATATATATATATATATATATATATATATATATATATATATATATATATATATATATATATATATATATATATATATATGTCTGATTTGTCTAAAAGCAGTTATTACTTGCACCAATTATTTATATACCTAAAAACAGTTATTACTTGCACTTATGATTTATAACTGAAAATAGCATTACTTGCACTTTATATGATTAATTGATTATAACTATAATATCTAAAAATAATATTCAACATTACATAGATTTTAACTATTTATTCTAATAAAATTATTGCATTAATTTGTTTACTTGAACACATTGATTTTGTTCTAAATATAATAATAAATGCTCAAATCATTTAAAAACATTTTTTTTCGATTGAACAAAATTTCATTGCACAAATGTTAAAATTGCATCATAGGAATGACAGCATAATCATTATCAATTGGTAGGCAAACATATTTTCTTTTAATTTCTGTTGGTGAACAGTATAGCAATTCGTTTTCCAAGCAAGAAACTTTAAAAATATCCACCTTCATAGAACAGCATGGGTATGTAAAAAAATCTTCAAGTTTTTTAAACTGTTTATACAAAATAAAGGACTGCTCAGCTGTTTTTACAATATTCTGCACAATAATTACTTTGCCATTGTTCAAGCTAAAACAGTTATCTCCATCTGTAATTTTTATGCACCAACGCTTGGTAAACAATTCCTTGTACTGAGCACATACTTTCAACGATTTGACGACTGGCCCATTATAATGCTCCTTCTTAAAGTATGTACTATTATGCTCACTTTCGTTTTTTTGTTTTTGTTGAATTGCTCTCTTCTCACCAAGTCTTCGAACTATTTGCTGCAAAGGCATGTGAGGCTTCCGAACAAGTTTCTTTAACTGAGATAAATAATTCTCAAATGGAAATGATGAAATATTGTCCAGAGGACCAAATTTTTTGGCATCATTTGACAAATGTACCAGCCCATGCATATTATATGTAATAACTTCTTTGCCATAAACCTCCGAGACATGCTCTACAAATAGCAATAACAAACTATGCGCATACGAAGCATATTTCTTGCATAGAAATTCACTTAGCAAGATGCTCATAGCAACAGATAAAAGCATAAAGTTATTATAGAGTGGAGGTGAAAGAATCCTATCAAAGCAAACCATGCCTGTATAAAGCAATAGTTGCCTAAATTCTGTTGCTTTCCAACGTTCAAATTCATGAAATGGCCGTGGCTTACGCGCAAATTCCGATGGAATGTAAGGTCTCATGTCAACCAATTTTTCTGATAGATCTTTGACCACACGTGGGCCAAGTCTGGTGGCTAAAGGTCCCTTGAGCCACATAAAAACCATTTTCTTCATTACGCCAAGACAAACTAAATGCATGTAGTCTGCAGGTACCTGTGATATCATTCCTAATGATGGAATAGCAACAAGTGGGCTTTTTCCATAATGATGTTTCTGATCTTTCATTTCTAGAAATGATGAGTCTGTTCTAAGAGCTGCTGCTGTTTCCGGAAAAGTTGTACGCCCGGCATAAAAACCATGTTGTACACATTTATCACATCCATGATATGCACTGTGACCCTTAATACATTTAATAAAAGCTCGCGCTGGGGTGTCACAAACCAGAGCAGAAATTTTTATTTCATAACACACATTGTTAAATATGATTCCTGTTTCCTGAAGGTCTTTTATTTCCTCAACAAAGTCTTTCAAAAATGCATTAATATCAGTCGGCTTGCTATTTCCACAGTATAATGCAACTGTAAACGGCTCCCTATTTGTTTGAACCACACCATCAAAATGTTCCATTAAACACAGAATTGGCCACAACTGTATCTTTGAACTTTTAAATAATGGCAATCCATCAATATTGAATTGTAACATAATTACCTGATTCACTGTCGTACCTTTAGCAACTAACTGTGACAATCTATTAACAATCCCTTGCTTAATGCCAAAATAACAATATGAACTGTCACGTACCTCTTTCTTGTAGATTTCAGACTGCATTACTGTTTTTGGACTTTTTGGCAAATCAGGGCAAATTTTTCGTAAAATAGTCAGCAAAGCAGCTAACGCAGTAAGTGTAATATTAAAAGAACATGACCATGATGCCAAATCTGTTACAAGTTCTTCCATCATACTGAACTGAGAGCTTTGGTCAGATTCAGAATCACTCATAATGGCATTTTCAACTTCGTCATATTCATCAACATCACCCAAAGGTGATGCAAAATTCTCTGATGTCTCACTGCAATTGTTAAATAAAGGGTTGAATAAAGGAGTTTGGCTGCTTAATTCAGTAACAGAAACCACTAATGTTTCAGACAATTGAGGTGATAAGCTTGCTGTAGCCCATTTCTCTCTAACATCAATATTACGCTTTTCAGTGTCAATTATTTCAGTTAAAATATGTTGCACTTCGCCTCGAATCTTTCTTCTTTTTGTCCAGTAACTCATTGCTAAAACTGCCTAAAAGTAGCATAACTTTCAGCAAACAGCAAACAAAATAAAAAAATAAAAATATTTATTTACAGTAATGGTTTACCTTAAGATTAATTGCTTGAATAGTTTTTCACCAATTTGAATCCAAAGGGTTTTATTCAGCACTCAATATCACAAGGACCACAAAATCAATCACACACTAAATATTTACATAAAAATAATCAATTTGTTTGTGTGTGAAACTATTATATATAATAGTTTGATTATACATACATACATACATACATACATACATATATATATATATATATATATATATATATATATATATATATATATATATATATATATAATATGATTTATAATTTTATATATTTATATATATACATATATTTTTTTGGTAATTGTTATATCCATATTTCCACACTAGTGTGGTTAGGACAGTTCTTTATAATGACATAAATGCCATTATGAAACAGTTGAAGCAATGTTTTACAACTGAATGCCCTTCCTGATGTTAACATAAGGCAGGTTGTACTGGATTACATGTTATCAGTAGCAGGATAACCTGACTTGACATAAGGATAACCTGACCTGACTGTGCATATAATATTGTTATTATATATACTTTTAATTGAAGCTGATATGATATATGAAACTGAACAACTAAACTGATACTACTATTAGTAGTATCAGTTTATCAGTTTAGTAGTTCGGTTATCAGCTTCATATATTCTATCAGCTTTAATTAAAAATATATATAATAAATATATTATATATATTTATATATAAATATATATTTTTAGTAGTACTAAAATATTAAAAAGTAATCCAAATACAAAACAACTAAATTTTTTTTTTTTTTTTTTCTATTGTACAGATTACAAACCTGTAATAAATATAAATATAAATATATATATATATATATATATATATATATATATATATATATATATATATATATATATATATTATATATATATATAAATTTATATATATATTTATATATATATATATATATATATATATATATATATATATATATATATATATATATATATATATATATATATATATAAAACATAATATTATATACAATGTTTTATATATAAATATATATAATATCATTATTATATATTGATATCAGACTATATCTGTAATTGTAGATTTCCTCAAATATTAACTAATTAAATATTATAAATATTAATATGACATGCTTCCTTTAGCCGATCGACCACACGACAAATATACATGCACTGTAAATGCGTACTGATGTACCTTTGCAGGACCGCCTACAGTTTACCAGCGCTGGTGCGCCTATATAGGGCCTATGTAAGGCCAACGACGGCATACCAGCGCTGGAGAACCGTTATCGGCGTAACTATGGTCCAGACATGTCTAACCAGCACTGGCGCGCCTGGTATAGTTTAGTGTTGGACCTTAATTGGTACGCCAGAGCTGGCCAGCCAGCAACGGACCGATTGAGTGCTGCTGACTGGGTATATATATATATATATATATATATATATATATATATATATATATATATATATATATATATATATATATATATATATATGTATATATATATATATATATATATATATATATATATATATATATATATATATATATATTACATTGTAACTTACAACAATAATGTTTATATGTATATATGTATGTATGTATATACATATATATATATATATATATATATATATATATATATATATACATATATATATATATATATATATATATATATATATATATATATATATATATATATATATATATATATATATATATATATATATATATATATGTATATATATTACATCGTATTTTACAACAATAATGTTTATATGTTTATATGTATACATATGTATATATGTATACATATATTTATATGTGTATATATATATATATATATATATATATATATATATATATATATATATATATATACATATATACATATAGATATATAGTAACAAAAATAATAAAGTAAAAAACACTTCAATATATTAGAAAAAAGTCATAACAGTAAAAGTAAGTTTTTATATTGAAATAAAGTTGAAGCAATAGCAAGAAAAATATTATCAATATAAAATATATTTATCTAAAGTTAAAAAAAATATTATCATTTATTAGGATTTTCCCAAAAAAAACTTTTTTGAACAATGTATGCTTAATGTGTTTTATATAAAAAACAACTGGTTTTTAAAAATTTTTGAAAAAAAATATTTTGATGACTCCCTCAAGACCCTTATTTTTTTTTATAATTATTAGGAACATAACAAGTTCCAAACATTTTTAAAAAAAAATTATATAAGTTTATTATGTATAAATTATATCATAATGGTCATATCATAAGTATTATGTATAAATTATATCATAATGGGTCTCAAGTGAAGCAAATTTATATGAAAATTTCAAAAAAAATATTGCCAAAAATTGGTAATAATGGACATTTTTCTTTTTTAATTAATAAAATTCATTTTTTATGGTGTTAAATCTAACATATTTTTAACCTATTTTTCAAGTCTAAATGTGCAAATATATGCATTTAAACAGTTTATATATGCAAATATATGCACTAATACAGTTAAAAAAAAAATACTTGCATCATAACAAGCAGGTCTTTAATCGCTTATTTTTTTATATTACTTGCAAAGAATATTACTGCAAAAAAATATTTGCATTTCAGGTAAAAAAAAACTGTTTTTTAAAAAATTTTGACAAAAAAAATAATTTGATGACTCCCTCATTACCTTTAGGAACTTGTTATGTTTTATTTATTTAGAAACTTATTATGTTTTATTTGAAACATAAAAGTTATGTTAATCTTAATCATGTTAAGTCTTAAATGAAGCAAAATTATATGAAAACTTCAATATTAGATTTAACACCATAAAAAATAAATTTTATTAACTAAAAAAGAAAAATTTCCATTTTTGGCAATATTTTATTCATATTTGAAATTTTCATGATTTCACTTAAAGGGACTACCAAGTCCCGAGACACGTTGTGTTCATATTAAAGAGAATGTTAAAGAGAATGTTAAAAAAAACGTCTGAGCAAATTTTTTTTGATTAAAACTAATTAATAAATGTATACCAAGAAAAACAAATCTTGTTGTTTTAGTCGAAGCTCGTCTTCTCCGTTTTCTCTGGTATTTTAAATTGTAAAATAAACGCGATTTTCCAGGCGCATTATACAGACTTGATAATTTATTCAAGCGCGTTTAATTCATAGGAGTTTAAGTGCATGACGTCATAGATTTTTTTTGTTTGTTTAAAACACCTATTGTTATTTTTTACATACAATTTCCAAATCATATTCATTTTTACTATATTTTAAAGTTCTAAAACGTGTTTGTAAAACAAAATTAAAAACAAAATAAAATTAAAAACAAAATAAAAATAAAAACAAAAATAAAATTAAAAACAAAAATAAAATAAAAAACAAAAGTATTTTATTTGCGCAACTTTTTTTAAATAATCGTCTAGACCACGCGTATTTTGATTTCTTTTGTTATAAGTTTTTCTTTCAAAATATTAGATAAAAAAATTTTTAACCTAAATAATAATGCACTTTTATTAATTTACTTTGTAAATATTTAAAAAAAAAATTATTAACTCATTTTTTCTCTAATTTTCAAAAATGTATTTTTTGGTACTGAGGTGATCTTATTTCATTATTTATATTTCCATTATAACATCCAATATATATTATGGCGGGGGCTTAAAAATTAAAAAATTATTATATATTAATTTTTATTTTACAGACATACATGGAAACATAATTAACTTGAATGTTCTTAAAACATCTTGCGGAAGAATAAAAAGAATATTCGCGAACACTAAAAACCCGCCAAATTTGCGAACAAACTAATTCTATTGGTTCAAAAAACACGCTGTGTAATAAGATAATAAAATATATATAAAATTCACGTCCAGGAGGTAATCCACTGGTATTTAGAGTGGTGGCCCTCCAACCAAATAAAGAAACATCAAATAATGAATACTTATTTTTACTGGAAAAAACTGACCTGTTTTTGGTCCAGGCAATCATTTAAATGCAGCTAAACTGTTACATGATTGGTGTGGAAAAATTTCTCAATTTGTTTTATCACTCTCTGATCAATTGAAAAGTTTAGAACAAAATGATAAACAAAATTTGTGTGAAATTAGCAAATTGAGATCTGACTTGAATGCAGCAAATGATAAATTGAAATCTTCTAATATTAGCAATGATTGGGTTCAGATAGTAAAAAATGGGAGTAAAAATTCAAAAAAGCTAGTTGGACAGTTAACTGTTGAAAATGTAACAATCAATGAGTTAAACGAGAGAGAGAAGTGCAAGAAAAATATTATTGTTTACGGTGTACCTGAGTCGAAAAAAGAAGTATTTCTTGAAAAAAAAAACAGAAGATGAACTTGCAATTAAAGGTATTTTGTCTTTCATTAATAAAGCTGAAGTAAAGCCAGTGTATTGGAAAAGGTTGCATTCTAAAGATTCAACAAAACCTGGTCCTATCCTTGTTGAACTTAGTGAGCCGAGCCTACGAAATCTAATACTTTTAGCAGCCAAAAACTTGAGAAATAGCGAAGTTCATAAATCAGTATATTTAAGTCCAGATTTAACTGAAGCAGAAAGGCAGTCGCATTATCAATTTAGACAAGAGAGAAACAGATTAAATTCGGAATTGAATTTTAACTCTCCCTTTCGATATGGAATCCGTCGAAATCAAATCCAAAAATTCAAAAAAACCTAATTTAGATAAAGAGTTCTATTAAAACATAGAAAATAATATTTTTTGGAAATGCATATACCTAAATGCAACATCTTTGGAAAATAAATTTATTGAATTTACGGTTGTTGTCAATATAAATTGTCCATATATAATTGGAGTTACCGAGACTTTTTTTTTTTTTTTTCTATTTGCATTCACTCCCAACAAGGCTGCAAGCAACCACTATTAAGTTGGGAGTTACTAGGAAAAAAAAACAGAGCTATAGAGCAAGGAAACGGTTGACAGAAGACTTGAAAAGTTGAATGTTGTATGAGTCAGGAAAACATGAAGATGGGAGAGAGTTCCAAATGATTGAAGTGCGGGGAAAAAAACTAGATGAATAAAAGTTTTTAGAGCATGCAGGGACAGATACAGTAAACAAATAAGACTTAGCTGAATGACGAGTAAAACGAGAATGAAATTTAGTTGATGGAACTAGAGATGATAACTCCTTTGAGCAGTGACCATGATAGTATTTGTAGAAAAGAGAAAGAGATGCAACTTTACGACGATGGGAAAGAGGTTCAAGCTTAGCAGATAGTCCAGGTCCAACAACATTTACAATGCGTTTTTGGACCTTGCCAAGAAGAGAAAGTGAATCGCTAGAAGAACCAGCCCAAATATGACAACGGTATTCCATACAGAGACGAATAAGAGATTTGTAGAGGTAGAGAATGGAATCAGAATTAAGGAAATAGCAAGCACGATAAAGAAAAGCAACCTTAGCAGAAGCTAATTTAGCATTGTATTGTATATATGGTTTCCATGAAAGGTCAGTAGTAAGCGATAATCCAAGAAGACGTAAAGAGGACGACTCAGTAAGAGGATTGCCATTCATTAATATAGGAATGTTGACCATATTACGGTAGTTGTTTGCAGTTAGCAATTGGGTTTTTTTAGAGTTGAAATTCACAAGCCACAGTGAACCCCAATCTATTACTAAAGTGAGATCGGATTCAAGATCAGCTGCTTTTTCTAGGCGATCGAAAAGATAAGAAATTTTGTCAAGACAGGAGTATAAAGTTGAGTCATCAGCAAAAAGAGCTACTTTAGATGAAAGGTTGTCAGGAAGATTGTTTATGTAGATAAGAAACAAAACAGGGCCCAAGATGGAACCTTAGGGAACCCCAGAAGTTACTGGAAATAAAGAAGAGTGTTGGCCTTTAAGGATGACTTTAATAAACCGGTTAGAAAGAAATGATTTGATAATCTCAAAAACTTTCCCACAAACACCATATGAAGCAAGCTTATGGAGAAGACCAGCATGCCAAACTTTGTCGAAAGCTTTAGATATGTCGAGAGCAATAGCCCTAGCCTCACCGCCTCTTGGTTCAAAAGTGTCTCAATAGTCAACATTCAGGGGTATAACATTTATAGAAGAGATAGATGTGATGGTCGAAGAGGAGGTGGTGTATGTCTATATGTAAAAATTTCGATTGATTCATATGAGCTAAACAATATTCAATTTAGTCAGAGCAAAATTGAACAAATCTGGGTTGTACTGTTCTTTGGTTAAGATAAATATTTAGTTGGTTGCCTCTATAGACCAAGTGATTTTATTGATATGACTGCTTTTGATTTAGTTTTTAAAGAAGCTAGAAATTATGTGGATAAAAAAGGGTTTAAAGATGTTTTAATTATGGGAGATTTAAATTTTCCTTTAATAAATTGGTCTAATGGAAATGTATCTTCTATTAATAACAATTCAGGCATTGAACATATCTTCAGTAACACGTTAATTGACACTTTTCTATATCAGCATGTAAACACTCCAACTTTCTCAGTCTCAAATGAAATAGCAGTAAATATATTGGATTTAATTTTTACGACTGAATCCGGAAATGTATGTGCAATAGATACGCAGTTTGTGCTTGGTAATACTATTAAAGGACACTTGGTAATATTTTTTAATTACTTTCTTAAAAATAAAATGAAACTTCAACCTGTGAACTGTTATAAATTTGTTTACAAAAAAGCAAATTACGAAAAAATTTCTCAATTTATTTCAAATGTTGACTGGGTACAATAGTACAAAAATATGCCAGTTCAGGATATGTATAATGAATTGATTTATTACTCCAACATTGCAAGCAATTTATTTATTCCCACTACTGATGTTTCACAAATTAGAAGTATGGAAACTCCTTGGATAAATAAAGAACTTGAATAACTGATTAGAAAACAAAATTTTTTTTTTATTTTTTTAAAAAAATAAAAAAATTTGTGATACAGAAACTGTGCTCGAAAATGGAAAGATGCTAATTTGAGTAAAGATTATAAAATACTATGTTGGATTATAAAATCTGAAGTGAAGCGTTCTTGAATAAATTATGAACAAGACTTAATTAAAAAAGCTAAGCAAAATCCAAAATTGCTATATAAATATATTAACAATCAGTTAGTGGTAAAAGATTCAACAAAAGCTTAACAAAAAGACGATGGATATATTTCACAAGATCAAGTTGAAATCGCTAATATTTTAAACAAATGTTTTCAAGATGTATTTGTTATTGAACCTGATGGTGCCCTTCCTAAGTTTGAGTCAAGATTTAGCAATTATGCTACAAATTTTTCTGATATATCTCCAGACGAAATGGATTGCATCTTTTCTCACAAATAGGAGACAGAGAGTAGTTAAGGGTGACATTGTGTCTAATTGGATTGTAGTATTTAGTAGTGTGCCACAGGGTTCAGTAATTAGACCGTTCCTTTTGTTGTCTATATTAATGATTTTCCAGACACAATCAAAAATGTTTCAAAGTTATATGCTGATGATACCAAAATTTTGTCAAAAGTAAATTCAGATTTGTGTGTCAAAAAAATCCAGACTGACTTGAATAAAGCATTTGAATGAACTCCAGACTGGTTGCTGAAATTCAACATAAACAAGTGTGTTGTCATGCATTATGGCTCAACTAATAAAAACTATCCACTTTTCATTAACGGTATACAACTTCATGATTCTAAGTCTGAACGAGATCTTGGAGTTATATTTTCGACAAATCTTAAATGGAAAGATCAAGTAACTATGGTAATTGGAAAAGCAAATCAAAAGCTGGGGCGAATAAAGAAATCGTTTGCAAGCTTCGATTGTCAACTTATGAAATCTCTTTATTTAACATTCATTCGTCCGCTTCTTGAATTTGCAATTCCAGTTTTGTCTCCTTATATTAAAGGAGATTGTAATGCAATTGAGAAAATACAACACAGAGCAACTAAATTTAATAATAAGTCGATCTTCATATTTGAGATTGCTAATTGATGAAACCAATTAGCAATCTCAAATATGAAGATCGACTTATTGCTTTAGGCTTAACAACCTTAACTGAGAGAAGAAAAAGGAGAGATTTGATAGCACTATACAAACTTATCAATGGTATTGACAAAACAAACATAAGAAAGTCTTTTCCACTTGTTAAAAATTCTTTAAGAGGGCATTGTTTTAATACCACAAAGAACTCGCTAAACATCCTTCGAGGGAACATTTTCTTTTTAACAGAATTGCGAATACATGGAATTTACTTCCGATTGAAATTGTAACAGCAAAGTCTGTTAATTGTTTTAAAAGAGGTCTTGATTGCTAGCTGAACAGCAATCAAGCATAACAGCTGTCATAGTGTGTGCAACATCACACTCACTGGATTTGTCCAGTACAGCATTAACAACTATTACTATTACTATTATTATATATATATATATATATATATATATATATATATATATATATATATATATATATATATATATATATATATATATATATATATATATATATATATATATATATATAATATACGTCACTATGGATTACAAAAGATCTCAGAAAAAGTTCTAAAGTTAAGTAAAAGTTGTATATAAAGTATTTAAAAACGAGAACATTAGAAAGTAAGACAATTTATAAGAACTACGCTAAAAAATTTGAAATCCAAAGAAAAAATTTAAAAAAAAGATACTATATAAATTTACTAGAAAAGTATAAAGAGAATTCAAAGCAAACATGGCAAATTATAAGAGAAATTACAGGCAGTAAGAAATTGATAGCTAGCTCTCTACCTAGAGCTATTAAAATTGATAATAAAATATTTTATAATCCGAGAGTGGTAGCAAATAAAATGAATGAATTCTTTACTTCAGTTGGACCAAATTTAACAAAGAAAATTTCTAATATAAATGAAATAATAAGCAGATGTAGTTTTCCTTTAGTATCTTGTCTAAATTCTTTTGAATTGTCTTTTGAAGAATTTGATAGAGCTTTTAAAATGCTAAAGCAAAATAAAGCAGTCGGTCCTGATGATATCAATGAAAACATTGTTATTTATTCCTACGATATCATAAAAAATATCCTTTTTAAAATATTTAAATGTTCAATTCAACAAGGAATTTTTCCTGATGAATTAAAAATAGCTACCCGGTGGGAAGTGAGCTAGCGATTAGCTAGCGACTAGCTAGCTTTATAGCGATTTTTGAGCGATTTTTTTTTTCTTATTTAATTTTTTCCTTAAGTCTTTAACATCATTGAAAATTCGATTTTTAGTGTTGGATCTATTATAATTATGAAAATAATTGAACTTTAAACATTGCGATATTGTAACGATATATCGCTAGCTATATATCGCAGTTTTTTAGTCAGCGATTTTATTACGATATGACACTAGCTACATATCGCATTTGTTTAGCTGGCAACTAGATAGCGATATATCTATAGCTATTCGATAACTACATATCGCAGCTTCTTAGCTATCGATTTAATTACGATTAATCGCTAGTTACGTATCGTAGCTTTGTAGCTAGTTACAAGATAGCCACAAATCGATAGCTAGTTGATAGCTACATATCGCATTTTTTTAGACCGCGATTTTATTACGATTTATCGCTAGTTACATATCGCAGCTTTGTAGCTAGCTACAAGTTAGCCAAAAATCGATAGCGAGTTGATAGCTACATAACGCAGTTTTATAGACAGCGATTTTATTACGATATGACGCTAGCTACATATCGCATTTGTTTAGCTGGCAACTAGACAGCGATGTATCTATAGCTACATATTACAGCTTCTTAGCTATCCATTTAATTACGATTTATCGCAAGTTACGTATCGTAGCTTTGTAACTAGTTACAAGATAGCCACAAATCGATGGCTAGTTGATAGCCACATATCGCAGTTTTTAGATAGCGATTTTATTACGATTTATTACTAGTTACATATTGTAGCTTTGTAGCTAGCTACAAATAAGCCACAAATCGATAGCTACTTGCTAGCTATATAATGCAGTTTTATTGACAACGATTTTATTACGATTTATCGCTAGTTACATATTGTAACTTTGTAGCTAGCTACAAGGTAGCCACAAATCGATATATATATATATATATATATATATATATATATATATATATATATATATATATATATATATATATATATATATATATATATATATATATATATATATATATATATATGTATATATATATATATATAATTTTAATGAAAAACCGGAATTTTTTTCATTTTTTTTTATTTTATTATTTGATAGACTGCCTGCCCAAAAGCAAACCCTCAGTCGATGTAGCAGCACTCCACACACACATATATATATATATATATATATATATATATATATATATATATATATATATATATATATATATATATATATATATATATATATATATATATATATATATATATATATATATATATATATATATATATATATATATATATATATATATATATATATATATATATATAGCTATATCTCTACAAAAAATTTAAAAAACTATATAAACTTTAATTTTTATAATACAGTTAGGCTATTTCTATATTATAATAATACTTTTGTTTTCTCGATTAAAAACGCATTAACGCGTGTCATGAAATTGCTGTCTAGAAGTTTTAACTAACATACTTTAGTATACCGCATTACGCAATACCAATTATGCAAATAATGATTTTTGGCTAACGACTTAATTTGTCGTATTGAAATTTGCTATACATAACCAACAATTTTATCGATATTGCTTTTTTCGCACTATCACTCTACTATTCATATTGTTTTAAAAATATCAATATCAAAAATGGCATGTAAATAATCTTTATATGAACCTTCGGAATGCAGCAGCTTTCTTCAAAGCTCTAAACGGATAGGCCAAGTTGCAACGGTAATTACATTTCATTTGTTTGATCTATATATAGGACTCTAATAATTTAACTTGCATTTTCCTCTTTTATTTTAGTTTTTATTATGTTACCGTAAACCGGGGTTACTTTGAACGTTTTTGAGATATTTTTACTTGATTTTTCCTCACTATTGACATAATTTAAAATTTAACAAAATGAATATAAGGGCTAAGGTTAACTCACACATAATTCAAATTCAAATTATTATTTAAATAATATTAATTTAAACAGTTTGATATTAATTTAAACAGTCATTTAAAGTTCTTTTAAAATTATTTTCTTGTAATACGATATTTATGTTTTATAAAATGAGTTTTTTAAAATCATTTTATTCTTTTTAAAAACCCATTTTTGCGTTACTATTAAATAAAATGTTTAAAAAAAGTTGTAACAGACTTATTATGTCAAATGTTGGTTGTTTCCTAATTATTGAAATTCCATTTACTGTAAAATTTTTTGGTATTATATTCTTAGTTTTAAATAATAACGGTCTTGTTTAAACGCATTAACGTTTTTGCTTTTGTATAAAACCAAAAACGTTGATGCGATTCTTAAAAACGTTAAATTGCTGAAAACCTCAAAAATGATTTAATAAAAAGCTTTAATTTTGTCGTTGAAAAGTTAAATATGTTGAAGTGCCTAATACAGTAGCGTTTAAGCTAGCTAGAAGATTACAAAAAGTCTATAGCTATTTGATTGCTACATATCACAGCTTTTTTCTAGCTATCTATATTTTAGCACGGAATGTCGATAGTTTTTTATACAGTTGAAGTTTCGGCCCACCTTTGAATGTGAGCATTTTTAAACTAACTCAATAAATTATTTTTATTGCAATCAATGTATTATTGTAATAAAGCATTGCATAAAATGTGTTGAGTATTTAACTTAGGTAAAGTTGAGTTGATTATGAGCCGTATTTATTATGATTTTTTTTGTCCTTTTTTAGTAACAGATTTTTGTATATGTCAAGGATTAACCTTTTTTGGATATTTCCAGAATTCTGGAAATTTTTGTAACTTTTTTTTTGCTGGATATCTAAAACATTTTCTATACTTAAAAGTTTAAATACATCTATTTGTTTTATAAGCTTTTTCACTCATCACTCATAAAAAAATAAAGAAAAGTTTGAAAAAAAAAAAAAAAAAAAAAAACTCAGCTATAAGCAAAAATAAGAGGAAAATAAGAGAAAATATTTTCCGGGTATTTTACCCAAACAAATTTCCGGATTTTTAAAATATTGCATGGACGATCTATGATATGTATATTGTATAGAGCTATGATTGTATGTATATTGAAAAAGTTATTTTTTTTAGCATATTCTTACTGCAGAATCAGAAGTAGAAATTGATTTAAATACATAAAAAAAAAACACAAGAAAACTCCTTTAAGTCAGCAAAACAGAAAGAGAAAAAAAAAATGTATTTTTGAAGAACCTCCTTTACCATCATTACCATCGTGGGAGCCACCAAAGCTTACTGATTCCGATTCAGTATACATTTTAAAATTTTATCCCATTCGTAAAAATAACAATTTTTTTTTGTTTCATTTTTATGGTTTATTCGCTTTTTTTAGTTACCATTTTTAAATTAAAAAAAAAAAAGTAAAATATAATCAGAATATTGTGAATGTATTTATAATCATTGTTAAACTTGTTCAGAACTTTTTGTCCGTCTCTGCCTCAATGGATTAAGTAGATGACTTGCCAGTTACACAGATAGTGTTTCCATCAGAAATGCAGTCTGTTTCACAAGTTCAACCGTTACTGTATTCATCTTCTTCCTTTTCTTTACCATCTCAAAAAACTGGGATAGACCAAATAAATAACTTTATTCGGAAAACAAATGTTGAACCCAATACTGTTGAAGGCATTCAATTTATAGTGAACTCCATGTACAGAAAACTTTGTGGGTTTGAAACAGAAATGCGTTCCATGCGTTCAATTTTAGACACTAATCATGGTAATAAAGAAAATATTAATATAGATTAATTACCAGCTAATTCAGTTGAAGAGTTTGACTCACTAGAAAATAAATTAATTAACTCTAATGATAAAGATATCATTTGCAGAAAGTTAAAGCAAATTGGTGGGAGAAATGTAAGTGACTTTTTAAAAAATGCTTTAAAAACTTGTTTAACAGACAAGCTGTGCTGCAGCATTAATCGAACTGGTGCAGATAAAAAGCGTAAGTTTATAGGACCAGTCGAAAGTTTGATTTTTGAAGCAGCTTACTGTTTATTTCCAACTGCCACTGAATCCAGTATGACTACAATAATTGCGAAACATTTGAAAAAGTCTAAAGATCGTTATTTTGCTGCAAGAAAGAGAAGTTCTTCTTTAACAAGTGATATACAAATACACAGTCCTGTTAGAAAAAAAAGAAATTTAAACACTGACTCATGTAGTGATTCCAGTTAACTTATTTTTTTTTTGTTTATTTGTTCTATTATTTTTTATTGACTTTTTTTTTTTAGATATTTTATTTGTTACAACTTTTTTAGCAATTATTTTCGAAAATTGATAAAGATTTAAAAAAAAACAAAAATTTGACAGAAACTTTATTCTATTATCTTTTTAAATATCTTTTGAAATTATTAATTTAGTTTAGGCAAAATCATTTAGTTGTTAATAACTTTTTATTTTTCAAAAGTAATCTATAACTTTTCTTTTAACATTTTATAATGGCTTGAACATTTATAACTTTTTATGGAAACAAGTATTAACATTTTGTATTTAATTTGTTATAAATGCAATCTTTTTTTAATGGTTATAATTCACTCCCCTGAAAAATATAGCACGCGATTCTTTGAGTATATCTTCTAACCTAGCCGAGATTTTCTAGCCAAACCAATGTCATTGTCGTAACAACTTAATGCTAGCTATTCGCTAGCTTATTTAGCTAGCAATCCTCGTGGCCAGACCGCTGTCTTTATCGTAACGACTTAGTGCTAGCTATTCGCTAGCTTATTTAGCTAACGATCCTCGTAGCCATATCTCTGTCTTTATCGTAACGAATATCGCGAGCTATTCGCTAGCTTGTTTAGCTAGCGGATCGCTAGCTCATAAAGCTAACGATCCTCGTGGCCAAATCGCTGTCTTAATCGCAACGAATATCGCTAGCTATTCGCTAGCTTGTTTAGCTAGCGGATCGCTAGCTTATAAAGCTAACGATCCTCGTGGCTAAATCGCTGTCTTAATCGTAACGAATATCGCTAGCTATTCGCTAGCCGATTTCCCACCGGGTAGAGTTTCACTAATATTTAAAGGTGGAGACTTACTTAATGTTAGTAATTACCGTCCAATATCTGTTCTCTGTGTTTTCTCAAAAATTATAGAAAGAATTCTTTATAATAAAATTTTGACTCATCTTTCTCAAAATAATATCCTACACAAAAATCAATAAGGATTTAAAAATAACTCCACTGAACACGCTATACTTCAAATAACACAATATATTACTGAATCATTTGAAAATTCTAAGTTTACTTTAGGCATTTTTATTGACTTGTCTAAAGCCTTCGATACAATTGATCATAAAATTCTATTTAAAAAACTTACATATTATGGAATCTCTGGAAATGTTTTAAAGCTTTTAAAAAGTTATTTAAGCAATAGAAAGCAATTTGTTCACTATGACGTATCATCGAAATCAAAATTGTTAGATATAACATGTAGAGTTCGTCAAGGGTCTGTCCTAGAGCCACCACTATTTCTCATATACATAAACGATCTCTATGAAGCATCTAATTTAATGACAATTATGTTTGCTGACGACACGAACTTTTTTTTATCTCATAGCAACATAGCGACATTATTTCAAAGTATGAACATAAAATTAATTAAAATTTCTGAATGGTTTAAATTGAACAAGCTTTCTCTTAATATTAAAAAAACAAAATGGTCTCTTTTTCATCCATGCTATCTTCTACCGAGTTGGAGAGTTTGCGAACACGCACATCTCCAATTTCTTTTCACAATTTATATTCTTTAAAAGTTAAAAAAAAATACAATTTGCGTAATAAAAATTTTATTCTTCAACCAGTTTTCAAAACTAATTTTGGTAAGTTTTGCATTTCATTTGGAGGAGCATTTTTATGGAACAAAGTAGTATTAAAACTTTTTAATTTTTCTCAAGAATGGAGCTTTCTCTTATTTAAAAGAAAGTTGAAAAAAATTCTTTTCTCAATTGAAAACATTCTTATATATTTGTAAGTTTGTTTTGTTTTATATTAATACTCTTAAGAAATCTTTTTATCGTAATTTATATATATAAAATCTTTATTCTTAACTTAAATATATACATGTATGTGCATGTATATTGTGTGTGTGTTTATGTATATATATATATATATGTATATGTATATCATGTGTGTGTATATATATATATATATATATATATATATATATATACACACACATGATATATATATATATATATATATATATATATATATATATATATATATATATATATATATATATATATATATATATATATATATATATATATATATATATATATATATATATATGTATATTAGTAAATAGTCATAACAGTAAAAACAAATTTTTATATTGAAAAAAAGTTGAAGCATTCATTAGAAAAATATCATAAATATAGAACATATTTATCTGAAGTTTAAAAAAAAATTTTTGAAATCCTACAGTCATATTTTAAGAAAATTGATTTTAAATAAATAAACAAATGTATGAGTTACACTAAAAAGTTGTTAATTGAAATAAAGGTTAAGTACTCTAAGACATTTTTTATCCTTTTTTTATATATATTTTTGTGAAAATTTTATAATAATATACTGATCTACATAAAAATAAGGCTACAACATTGAGTTTTTAGAGATCAAATAACAAATAACACGGTTGCCATATAAATATACTCTGTAGTTAAGAACCGTAGCCATTTTAAAAGTTAAAAATTTTTTCGCATTTTCTCACGCATGCGTACCTAAACATAGCGCTTTTAAACGACCGTTGTAGCGTTTTTAAATTACTGCGTTAAAATTTTACTGCGCTGAAGTCTTTAACCTTTCAAACTTACTTTGCGGTAAAATAATAACGTTAAAATATTACTGAGAGACAGTAGTATTTTACCGTTATAATTTTACTGCGCTCGTTATAATTTTACTGTCATCAAGTAAAGCGATTTTTCTTTATTGTGCGACAAAATCTAATCTTAGAATAAATTAAATAGCCTAGCGATCCATAAAATCACTTCTGTAAAATTTTATTACAAACAAGTTTATTTACGTTTTTTTAAGTTGTAAAGAATATGCAACATTGAGCAAATTTTTTTTTTTTTTATAACACACAACCTTGTAAAACAACTGATATACAAACATCATTTTAGTTCAGTTTAAACATCATTTCATTTACAAAGCTTTTAGTGACAAAACAACGTTATAATGATTGTTTTTATTTTCTAAAAGAATACTTTGAGCTGTTAGTTGGTCGAGTTTCATGGATGCTAGATATTTTAAGCCATGCTAGTTTTTATCCAGTGAAGGACCATACAGCTATGTCAATTCCAATAAGATTTGCAGTACCAAGGACCTCAACATCTGTAGCCCATATACTATCAGTGGCCATACCATTTTTGGTAATGTAGTTTTCCACGTCATTGCCTAAATATCCGGACAAAAGACTGGAACAAGGCTTTGATACCATATGTTTAACAACAACATCGCGAACACGTGTATGTTGACACTCAGAACCTGCCAGCAAAAACGAAATTGCTCGAAAAAAAAATTGCCATCACTTTTGAAAACATGTATTTTTGAAGGTACATCATTTTCTTCTCCATCAAAATGATCTGGCGTTATAAATATTTTAAGTCCTTGTTCTTCAGCTATTTTTTGGAGAACTTCTTTGGTGGGATGTTTCATTAATTTGGAATTACGTTGACTTTTATCCTGATCATTGCACTCAGAAGTTAAACTATGCAATTTTAAATTACTTTTCTCTTCAACAAATGGTTTAACATGATGTAAAGAGTACTTCTTCTTTATTGTGTTGTTCCCTTTAATGTTTCTTAATAAACATGTTGAGTTTGACAAAATATCAAGTATCTCATATGGACCAAGCCACGAGAAAGTCATTTTTCCACCTTTTCTATTTTCTTTTTTTAGATGTCTCAATAGTACTTAAAAGAAAGGCTGCTACTGATACTGCTGTTTTATCGATAAGAGGTTCAGCTTCAGTCCACTTAGAAAAATAACCTATAAGGACAATTACATAATTGAATCCATTTGATTCAGGTAATTTAATCAAATCTACACTAACTTGTTTTATAACTTGTTGTTCTACTTTAACAGGTTTTAAAGCAGGAGACACTTTTAGGTTTCTGTTAAAGGTTTTTTGGCATCGTTCACATTGAGCTACATGTTTGGTGATATCCTCCACAATTAAATGGCAAAAAAATCTTGAGTAAATTTGCTTTCTCACAGCATTAGTTTCTAAGTGGCTAGCTAATGCAACAGCTTTCTGAGAAGTAACGAGACCCTCATGGACTTCTTTAACAATGTTTAATTGTTCTTCCCGATCTATTACCACAATCACCTACAATAAAAAAAATTATCTGTATGAAATTTTTTCAATTATTTTGAGGTGTTTTAAAGCTATAATTTTTCGAATTTTTGAAAAATGTTGTGTTAATTCAAAATAATGCACAATAAAGAATATTGTTGAATTCCTTTATTTTATTTAAGTAAAAACTTTTAAATTAAATAAAAACTTCTTTTGAAAAAACAAGTTTTTCTTACCTCGCCAATACCTTTTCTGCAATACATCAACTTATTGTCAACAATAACAAAATTTTTACACTGCCGTTTAAAATTTGCTTTTTTTCGTCTTTCATTCACATCTGCAGGAAAAGAATTGTCATTTAAATATTTCCTGACATCAATAAAGTTAATATTTTTGTACATCTTGACAAAATAAGCTATACAAATTGTAAACTAAAAAGCAGTAGAATTATAACGAGTGAAGTAAAATTTTAACGTTAAAATATTACTGCCTCAGTACAATTATTTTACCGCAAATGAAGTTTGAACGGTTGAAAACTTACGCGCAGTAAAATTTTAACGCAGTAATTTAAAAACGCTACACCGTGATAGAAAAGCTTTTTTACCGTATTTAACGTATTGTTTAAAATTTTCCATAAAATTAGGGCCCTAAAGTTCAAGTATTACATAGGGAAGGGGGCAATAATAGCACTTAAAAAACTCTACCATTATGAACTCGACTAAAAATTATTTGTAAAACTTGCAATTAGTAAAAAACTATTTTATCATTCAAAAGTTATAACCTCGTAAATTTGACAACCACCTCAAATAGAGGTGGTTTTAAACTTTTCTT